TGGAAGGTTGGTTGGAGGGTGGCTGCGCGCCCGAGCTCAGTTTTGGATGCTGGACTCTGGAAGGGAGCAGCCGCTCGGGAGAAGCCTTGGGGAAGGTCTGGAGAACGCGTCTGCAGGCAGAGGGGTGGCTTCCTTCTGGAGCAGAGGCAGAGCTTTCATGGCAGTGTCAGTCTGCGTGTTATCGCTCGTTGCTGTCCTCTGCTACCCTTCTTACGTCTTGTAGATGAGAAGTACAAGAGTCACAGTTGGGCAGGGCAGAAACTTCTGAGCACCACGCGGAGCTGAGCAGGGGCAGGTTTCCCGAGGAGCTGGTTTGGGATCCTCCAGGGCAGAGGGGGAAGGCGTCAGAGCAAGTGGAGCATCTCTGCTAGGACGGGCTGCTCACGCACGCCGGGTCGTGGCGCAGCGAGGGGGCAGTGGGGTGGTTTGGCTGTCCCCTTGAGCTATCTTCTAGCCCTGAGGATTTAAGAAATACTCCAGTAATTGCAAGTAACATTATGCAGTCTGCCTTTGGCTGGCAGCCTTGCCTGGCACCCCGTGTATAACCTGATCTTCAAACAACTCTCCAAACATTGCAGCTAAGCGTGTGGAGTCAGGCTGGCTGTCCTACTGCCTTGTCCACAGAGCCGGCCATCAGCACAGTGTGACTGGAAGCACAGGAGCTTCAGGATAAACCTGGGAAAGGAGCGAGAACTGCTGTCGTTAGCCCCTGCAGGTTGGGTTGCAGGCCTGAAGGGACCTGTGTGACTCGTGGTGCCTGTGTTGTTTGTCCTAAGAGGCGCGTAGCTGTTCACGGCTTGATGCCATATGGCCAGTTCTTCCTGCTCTCCGCTCACTGAGCTGGATGGAACCGGGGATGGTGCCCGATCTCCCCCCGCAAAGCTGTGCTTTTGCTCCCGCTGCGCGTGGTGCTCGCAGTGGTGCCGCTGGCGCGGGCAGTAACAAGCAGACACCCTTGCTGTGCTGTGCCAGAGCTGACGTGGCCGCTCGCCTGGTGAGCGATGGGTGAATGCCATGAGGAGCTGAGCTTTCTGCGGGCTCCAGAGCATTAGCTTTGTGCCTTGGCCAATCTCCAGCTTGGGCAATTCCACTCGGACGCTTTAAACGCTCCCTGTGGCTTTTGGCAGGCACAAGGCTCTGCTCGTTTGCCCACGAGCCCTCGGAGAGTTGTTGAGCACTGTTAAACAGCTGCTACTCTCACTCTCTGGCTGTTTTCTTGCTGGATGCAGAAATTTTGTCTGCAGAGCCTGGTGAGACCACTGTGAAAGGGGCTCTGTTTATGCTAAGCCAGTAAAGGTTGGCTTTATTTTTCCCACCAGCCCCTCTAGTCCGGTGGCTGTTGAGAGTTATGTAGGATGCAATTCGTATTTGTTTTAGAGTATAATGATTACCAGATTAACTGAAGCAATGGCTCTTAAAGATAGGGCTATAATTAGGTCAGGTTGTCTTGTTTGTTAAATTCCCTCCAGCTCCCAAACTTGGCAGTGGGAATTAACTTTGGGCCCTTTTTAGGATTGCTCACCAGGCAAGGGAGGTTGGGCGGTGGTGCCGTCGCTGCGTCGCGCGGCAGCCCGCGCGTGCGAGACCATCGTCATCGTCGTCTCTCCAGCGCAGGGCTGCTGAGCTGCCATGGGGAACACCACCAGCGAGCGGCTCTCGGGGGAGCGCCATGGCTCCAAGGCGCACCGCGCCGACGGCTCCGCTGCTGCCCACTCGACCAAGGAGCACCCGCACAAGATCATGGTGGGCAGCACTGACGACCCCACTGTTTTCAGCTCCCATGACTCCAAGGTATGGGCTAGCTGCTGCCTTCGCTGCCCTTCTGCCCGGGCTCCTGGCAGGCGGCTCTGCTGGGCTAGGACAATTTGCATGGAGTGGGGTTTGTCTGAGCAGGCAGTGACAGCTGATGGGGGAGCTGCTCTGCCTTTGACGCTAAATTCAAGTACTGCATAGCTGAACTCAGCCAAGCTCCTGGCCTTGAGGGAACTTCTGGCAGAGCTGGGAAAAGCTGCAGCACAGCAGGAACATCTGCTGAGACACAGGAGTGAGCTGCTTGCCTGGTGTGGTGGTGCTGGCTGCACAGGACAGCGTTCCCTCTGCAGAGCTGTGAGGGGCAGATGTGATAGGAGAATGCGAGAGCTGCGAGAGGTCTAGAGGGAGCTGGGAGAGCTCTGCAGTGCTGTGATAGGAGAATGTGAAAGCTGTGAGGGGTCTGCAGGGAGCTGGGAGAGCTCTGCAGTGCTCTCCTCTCTGATGTACAGAGGGACTGGCAGAGTCAAGAGGGATGTGAACATGGTTCCTGTCGTTGCTATGTCTCAGGCAGGCTTGGTTTTCTTTCTTCAGGTTCCTGGAGACAAGGAGTTCGTGTCCTGGCAGCCAGATTTGGAAGAGGCAGTGAAACCATCCCAACAAGCTCGTCCCACTGTCATCCGCTGGGCTGATGGGGGCAAAGAGGTCTTCATCTCTGGGTCTTTCAACAACTGGAGTGCCAAGATCCCACTTATCAAGAGGTAGCCAGCCCCTCAGCTCACCCCCTGACCCCTGTCTTACTGGGCACACAGCTGTGCTATCCCGTGAGCTGTTCCCTGCTCCATCACTGGGACTGTTTGCCCTTCCTTGTGCTAGTTGCTGTTTCTGTTGCTTACCCATCTTTTCTGCATTCACACCACCCCAGGCAGAGCACAAGGATGTAGCCCAAACACGAGTGTGTAGTCACCTTTTCTCTGGGTGTTGTGGCTGCAATGGTGGGAAGTTGTGAGAGAGAGGGACAGGGCAGGATGGACCACTTTATTTTCCCAGGTGGATTCCAGGCAGCGTGTAGTCCCGGCAGGAGAGCCCAGCGCAGGCATGCAGCTGTTGCTTTTCCCTTGGCTGTTATGTTGCCCCTTACCTAGTTGCACTGTTGCCAGCAGGTTTGTTTCATTGTCCCTCACGTGTCTTCCTGCTCTAAGGATGTTGTTATCGCTGTTCTGCGATATGCATTTCCACGGAATCACTGTGTAGGACTCTGGGCATACTCCCAGCAAATCATATGGATTGGGTTTGTCCCAGTTGCAGATTGCTCAAGCAGAGCTGCTGTACTTTCCTGCTGCTGTCCTGCAATGCCAGCCCAGGTTTAGATTTGTTGTTCAAACATCCTGTCCCCTGTGTCGTCTGTGGAGGGTCTGTCACACCAACTTGCCCTGGGTACGGAGGGCAGGTTTGCAAGTCGAGTTGCCTCCTACGCACTGCGGGGCTGGACCTCCAGAAGTTCAAGCTGTGCTTGTGCCCTGAATGCTGGTGCCTGTTGTGCCTCAGATCACTGGTGATGACCAGGCTGAATCCTGGGTTGGGGACAAGGGGATGGATGCTGTGGGACAAAGCGCTGCATTCTGGCACCCCATGAAAGAGCAGTGTCCAGAGCAGCTCTGGGGTAAAGCTGTTGCACTTCTGTTCTCTCTTTGCAGCCACAATGACTTTGTTGCTATCCTGGACCTCCCTGAAGGAGAGCACCAGTACAAATTTTTTGTGGATGGCCAGTGGGTTCATGATCCTTCTGAGGTAACTCTCAAAGCTTTATGTCTGTGAATCTTGCTGCCTTTTGAGGTACTAAATATAATCTAACTGCAACAGAGGGAGAGCAGGAGGAGCAGGGCCTATCTGCCAAAACTAAAAGAGCACTTCCATCTCCTGAATCTTTCCAGAGGCTGGTACCTCTGGACTTACACGTACTCTATGGGAGAGTATCAAGAACCTAAAAGGGAGCAGCGAGGCACAAGGAGGATTTTAAATCCCATTTGAATTGGTTGTAGAGGAAGGCCAACATTCACTTAGAGGTTCTCCTCCAAACTGAATCATGCAGGGGCAGTGTGGGAAGGAGAGAGGACCCTTACCCATCAGTGAGGAGCAGGGAGAAGGGTGAAAACAGAAGATGTTATAGGCTAGGAGCCTGAGAATAGGGAAAAATCCTCCTGGGATAAACAATAAAGATCCACTAGTATAGAACAGGGCTCAGCACTGGCCACTTGTGCTCTGAAGCGATGAGATGGCAAGGAGGAACTGGTGTCTGTGAGGGACTGGGAAGGGTCCAAGTGTGCTTCATGTGGAGGTGAACATAGGAAGACTCTTACCTCAGTTCTTCTCTTCAGCCCGTAGTCACCAGCCAAATGGGGACAATTAACAACCTGATTCACGTCAAGAAATCTGACTTCGAGGTGTTTGATGCTTTGAAGGTGGATTCTCTGGAGAGCTCAGAAACCTCAGGTCGGGGTGAGGTTTTTGTTGCATTGCAGCTTTGCATGTGCTGTTTTCCATCTCCTTTGCTCTAAGACTTGCTTTTCCCTGGTAGTGACAGATCCCCTGAAGCCAAAGCGTGGGCCCACAGCCTGGGAAGAGTAGTGTGTGGTGGTGTGTTCTGCCCTCATCCTAAGCAGCCCTGGCAGAGGCCTTGTCCCTGTAGAGGGGCTCTGCTGGTGTCACTGGTTCTCTGGTAGCACTGGCCCACAATGGGGTCAGTGCCCGTGTGGGGCTGGGGCCGGCTCACACTGGGGAGCGGCAGAACCTTGCCTGCTGGGTACGTTACCTCTCGCTGGCTCTCAAATGTGAGCAAGTTATCTGATCTGGGGTATAAGTTAGATGAGAGCAGGGTCCAGGTTATTTTCAGCAACCATTCTTGGCTTTTGTGCCAAGGCAATTTGTCCTGGTGCTAACCCATCGGAAACCTCCCTCTGCGCTTGTGTTACGGCAGCAGGTCAGGTTACCGCGCGCACCGGCGGCACTGGCTCGGTGTGCAGTGCTGGCAGGTAGCTCAGTCGTGTTTCGGTCCAGGGCGCTCTGAATGTGGCCTGCTGTCCCTGGTACAAGCACCATCTCGGGTCTAGGCTCAGCTCCGCGTCCTTGCCCAGGCTGAGCAGCAGGTACTTCCCTGGAAAGAAGCCAGCAAGCAGCATCTCCAGTGAGGTGGAGCCCTTCAGGGTGCTGGCTGCCCAAAACATCAGGTCAGAGGTGGCTGGGAGATGTGGCCAATGCCACTTCCAGCGACCACAAGCCCCTGTGATGCCCTCGCGCAGGCTGAGTGGCCGCTTGCCCTGCACAGAGCGGCCGGGAGCCGGGGCAGGCTCGTGGCTCGAACGCCCCGCGCCGCTCGTGTCGCCTCGGCGCGCGCATCAGCTGGCAGCCGCACTTGGAAATAGCTTGCCCGGCTGCTTATGTGGCAGTTAAAAGGCTGGACCATTGCTGGAGGATACGTGGCCAAGGGGAAACTAAGGCCTGAAGCCCCCTTTGAAATGAAACGAGCTGCCTCCTGTCCCGCAGAGGCTGTGTGAGCGCTGCTGTGCAGGTGGCTCTCAAGGGGCTGCGGGGAGGGTGTGCTGGGACCCTGGCTGTCCCTGTGTCTATGCTCCTGTACCATTGCCAGGTCTGTGGGCTCTGCAGGGAAGCAGGCATCAGCTTCCAGCCACAAACAGTGTGAAAAAGCCTGCACTGCTTCCCCACTGCATGTTAATCGCAGTCCGCCCAGTGACAACTGTAGCCTGGACTCATGGAGTTTCCATTAGTCATGGAAAGACCCTGCTGGGTCTTCCCAGTGCCTTAGGAGCTGCTCTGTGCTTGCTAGCCCTGCTTTAGCCACCTCACGTTCTCTTCTCTGTTCTCTTCAGACCTGTCCAGCTCACCGCCTGGGCCTTATGGCCAAGAGATGTATGTCTACCGGGCTGAGGAGCGCTTCAAATCCCCACCCATCCTCCCACCTCACCTCCTCCAGGTCATCCTCAACAAAGACACCAACATCTCGGTGGGTAGCAGCCACCACCTGCATGCTGTGGGCTCCTGCACCTGAGGTGGAGGGCTGGCTAGGGAGGGAAAGGGAGGCCTGCCTGCAAAGAGCCTGCTCTGCCCTTGGCAGGTACCTGATCCTTGCTGTGTCCAGGGAAAAGTGTTATTTTTCCTGTTAACCTCGTCCCTTTTAGCCTCTTGCTCTGCCTAGTGTTTAGCTGGACTCTGTTCATGTTTAGAACAGCCAGAGAAACGGGCAGCTCTCATCACCTGAGACAACAATCCCCTTCTCCCTCCTTGCTATCTGTAACAGCTGGGGATGGATTTGGGGGATCAGGGCTCTGCTGTTTCTCTGTGACACCATTTCTCCTTCTAGTGTGACCCAGCTCTGCTGCCTGAACCCAACCACGTCATGCTCAACCACCTCTATGCACTCTCTATCAAGGTAAGCACCCAGGTGGTAGCTGCTGTGAAAAGGAAGGGGAGATGCAGTGGTTCCCAAGAGCAGGTTCCCAGGATCTGGGCTGCGGAGACAGAGATGCAGGGGCAGAAAGACTCGTGTGAAGGCTGCTTGGCTGCTCGATGAAACGTGGCACCCGCAGGGGTTGGGCTGTGGTCTCCTGACAGGCCTTGGTTCCCCAGGGAACCTCCTCTCCGTGGAGGACCTGGGCCAGCAGCTGGCCAGGCCCTTTCCTCGCGCTGCCCCAGCTCGGGTCGTGGCTGTCCATGTGCCTCACGGAGGCTGGGGCCAGCGGGGACTGCCCAGGGCTGCTCCCGCAGCCCGCGGCGCCTCGGGGCTCTTCCCCGGCGCTGCCTGTGGGGCACGGGGCTGGGCTGCAGCGCGGGGTGTCCTGCCCGCCCCACTGACGCTGCCCTTGCAGGACGGCGTCATGGTGCTCAGCGCCACGCACCGCTACAAGAAGAAGTACGTCACCACGCTGCTCTACAAGCCCATCTGAGCCGGAGCCCCGCTCGCCTCGCCACGCGGGACACGAAATGCCACTTTCTCTGCACATGCTGGGCCGCAGGACTGTGTGAGAACTGGCTGCTGGCTCTAGCCTCAAACGTGGCAGGGACGCAAGCCCCAGCGATGAGCCGGGCCTGTGACGCTGTCCCATCCTGCTGGCGTGGTTTGATTTAACCCTTGGTTTCCACCCACCTACAGCTCTTCTGGCTTCTGGAAGTCCCTAGGGGCCACTCTGCTGCTCACCAAAATCACCACCCCAGCTCCCCACACAGAAAGGGCTTCCCCCTACCCCTCTTCCCCAGCCTGCAGGGGCCCTGGGGCTGCCTTGGCACTGCCCTGCTGTTGCTGTGCTGCTCTGGTGACACCCCTCCAAGGCTGCCTTGGGCCCTAGGGATTCTGCCACGTGTCCTCTGTGTCCCTCAGCCTTGGCTTTGAGACACCCCCCTCCTGCTGCTCCCAGCTTCATGGAGAACTCTCACCTCTGTCCGCGTGCCTGCCGGCTGCACCAGCCCCCCGGGGCTCAGCGTCGAGCCGAGGAGGGAGGGCGCTGCTGGACGCGGCACGCGGCCCCGCCGCCAGCGCAGCACAGCGTGCGTGGGGCCCTGTCCTCACCTTGGGGTGCCTCTGCGGGCCCGGGCTCGCTGCGTCACAACCTTTGTGCTGGAGAGGGCCCAGGGAGCGCAGAGCGGGACAGCCACCCCCAGCGCCTCGCCCTGGCTCCGCTTGCTGCTGTTGGCGCGGTGCCATGTCACTCTATTTATTACAGTATTTATTGTTCTCAGTGCTGCTCACCTGGTGTTGGAGGGGGCTCCGGAGCAGGGGGGAGACCCCCTGAGCAGGCGTGGGGGCTGCCACGAGTAGGGAGGTCAGAGCCACCCCTGCACCAGCTGGTGGCCATGGCTGGGGGAAAGCCCCTGTGCCCAGACTGGGGGCACAGCCGCAGAGACCAGCGCACGGAAAACGTTGTGACCTAGGAAGCCTTTATTGGGGACACCCAGCTGCCACACAGACGTCATCATTTCTTACATCTTCCTCCCTGGCTGGGGCCCTCCCCCTCTCCACAGGGAGCCCCCAAAATGCAGCTCCACTGTCTATATCTCTGTCTATATATATATATATATGTATATATATGTATAAATACATACATCCACGAGCAGGGACAGGTGTGGGGCAAGGTTACGAGCAGGATGAGGTCCTAGGGGGAGCAGGGCTCAGCTGGGAGGGCTGTGCCCCGTGGCAGGGGCGAGCATGGGGCAGGCGAAGCGCAGGCCGGCAGCGGCGATGCCCAGCGAAGCGGGACGGAGGGCGCATGTGGGGCCCGGGCACACGCTGTTTGCAGGGCCCATGGCAGGTCTGACCCGGGGACAGCCCAACAGCACAGACTGGGGCCAGGCCAGGCCTCCAGTGCAGCAGGGTGGGCGTGGGGGCCACCACACGGGCAGGGCTCAGGCCACGGGCAGGGCCTGCTGGGTCTTCACCTGGGGAGAGAGCACATGGGGCCATGAAGGCTCTGGCAGCAGGGGCACTGGGCCCTGTCCTGCGCTGGCCACCAGGCCACGCTCACCTCCAGGTTGGTTCTGGCCTTACGCAGCACGTTGTGAGTCCTCGTCACTGCAGGGCAGAGAGGGACAGAGTCAGCGAGAGCCCCGTCCTGACGCGGCAGGGAGGGGGGGACCAGGCATGCGCACCCACCCCGCAGACCACCTACGCTGGCTCACGATGAACTGCTCCATGCTGTCCTTGAGGCGGGCAGTGCTGCAGAGCCGCGCGGCCGCGCGCTGCAGGGCGTCCTCCCTCGCCGAGAGCTGGGCCCGCAGCGCCGCGATCTCGCCCTGCAGCGCCTGCTCCTGGGAGCACAGAGGTGCTGTGAGCACTGCGGTGGCTCATCCCCACCCCAGGG